TCATGTATGTATGTTGGGGTGGTCGTTGGATCGAGTTGTATTTTGAAAACTCAACTATGGCATAATATATATAAGGAAGAATGAACTAGCAACGTTTATATATTGATATAACTGATCTCTCCCCTGTTTTACAAATAGTGATGTGATCCCTTTTTGGATTATGTATGAGACGGGTAGGAAAGGTTTAATAGGCTTGCTCGACTGGGTCCACTCGGTTGGGCACCGGTCGCGCTACTCGAGGTTGGGGCGTGACACTCAGGTAAAGAAATTTCTGGATACAGGTTGTATTACACTCTATGGGTATATGGGAATCATAAAATAATTTAGTGGTTATTCGCGAAGGATGTAGTGTACATGGAGTAGGAATTTGCTCGGTTGCTTAGGAGTGTGAGTTACTCCTTTGGGAGTCGTCATGCCAATAGGGCACCAGTCGTTTGGCCCGTTTGGGGCGGTGTAATTGATATTTGAGTAGAGTGGATGACTCTCGAAAATGGTTCTAATGGATTCAAGAATTATATGTAGCGATTTGGAATTTTCAAGATTGGTACATGGCTAGAAACTGAGAGTTACATTGGATGGTGTCGAGACTTGTGGTATTTTTATACCATTGTGGATTATGCATTTCTGCGTCGAGAAGGTGAAGGAAATAATTTTAGGTTTACATAAGGTCTCTTTAGAGTGGGTATCTTGGTTGTGGTGCTTTGGGGTACTTACGAGGGAAGTCAGCGGCTTATGGGCCTTAGGGCATTGTGGTTTTATACTAGGGTCTCTTGTGTGGTGAATTTTGATTAAGGATCGTGGTGTTCCAGCAAGGAGAAGTATCAATTTGAAGGCAATTTGGAAGGGACTTGGAGAAATAGGATAGCGTAGTAGTAGGTTGGATCAGCATAGTAATGGATATAATCAGTTCTTTGGGTACTTATGATATGGCTAGTCTCTATATGTGTTTCGTGGCAATGCTCTTGGGTTTTGGCGACCTCTGCGGCTGGGTGAGTTAGAGAGATTCAGTTCTGATAGCTTGTTTATGTGCAAATGGGTTTCAAAGAGTTCCCACTAGGTTTTACCACGGTTCGAGGAGTATATTTCCTACCGGGTGAGGAATATGTTGCGTATTGGGATTTTCTCCGGGATGAGATCAATGGAAGGTTTCTGACTGATCAGGTATGTATTCTGGTTGTGACTCAGAGTTGATTATGAGATTCTTATACTCTTCACAGGATGGCATGGTAGATGCGGTGTGTTGTGTGGGATTGAGATTTGCATCTGCAAGGTCACCGTTAAGTTTTTTAGGGAATGACATAAATTCGTAGGCAGCATGGATGGTTTTAGATGACTAGGTAAATGATATTACTAATCAGTATGACCTGATGAGAGTATACATTTCAGAAGGGGCAATGTGTTTTGATTTATGGGTACTTCATTGGTATTGTGGCACTCTCCTAGTTGATCGACTGATGATATTTAAATTTTCCTACGTGGCACAGAAGAATTTTAGAAGTATTTCTCGTGGGAGGATCGTGTATGAGAGATGTGTTAGACATTCTAGCGGTGGAGATGGAATCAGATATGATGATTCGTGTGTTTTATGGATTTGGAGGCTGGGAGTTCTCAGGAGCAGATTGTTTCATGGTTGTGGACTGTGAGGTTGTGGCCGAAGCTAGCCAGATGATAGTATGTGTTATGATTTAGTCATTGTGGATTTTCGGAGGGTTATTTATCTATTTGTGGGTGACCAGAGTCAATTTGGGGGTCCATTGGTAGGCCCAATTAGGATGTGTATTCTACATCGAGCCGGATTGGTTTGCTCTATACTTCTATTGTTGAGGGATGTGCCATTCAGTTGTTGTTGAGCTTATTCATATTTTGAGATGATCTATGAGTTTCTCTTCTATGCTACGAGGAGTTGTGATCTGTTGGTTTATAGCACACCTGGTGCGGTTATATTTGGGCTTTATAGCGAAATTTGAGCGAGATAAGTAATTGGGTATTGCATGGTTGATGACGTATGGGTTATGTTCTTTCTGGTTTTGCATGGCATTGTGTCATCTGCTTCTCCGTGGTTATGTTAATGCACTTTGAGTACTTGATGTCGGATTGAGCGTGGTTATTGATTTTAAGCATGGTGGCTGAGGTATTTCATATGGATCAGTCTTTGGATGGGGTCGCGCATTACAACAGAGTTATGTTGAGATATGATCCTTGGTGTTAGATCCGTGTTCTATGATTCTACGGTGTGTGATGGGTTCTTTGCATTGCATCGGGGTGGTACCCGTCGAGCTTGCGGGACGATTCTCTTGTTTGAGTCATTTTCGTAATTAAGTACATCTGGAATGTTGCTTATTGGTGCACGGATTGCACGGGTTGTGGCTTTAGATAGTATTGGTGTGGCATATCAGTAGAGTAGTTGGTATTTGATGAGATGAGGTCATTGTACCTAGAATGGATACTATTGGAATTGATGTCAGCATGGTTGGAAAGATAATATCGGAAGTCGGCTTAGAAATTTGCTATAGTCTTGTCGAAGGAGATGGAGTAGCATGACTTGTTGAATTGATGAATGGTTATGAGTTCTTCATATTTCTTTCATCATTGGCAGTGTACGAAGGTTTTATAATGGAGTCTTGTTTGACATGAGGTTTATTACCGGCATTGGGTTGATTTGAACAGCTACTGTGATTAGAAATCATTGCTTCGAGCATTTGAACTATGTGGTATTTGAATTTGAGTATTTGAGTTATGGTTACGACTTTTGGTACAGCTTGTTCATACTTATACGGTATGTAGATGCAAAATTTTGATCTTATAAGAAATTCCAGATGTTTGAAATTTGATTCGAAGGTTTGTGAGCTAGGTTGAATTGAGAAATTACAGTTATGTTGTGTTATCGGACCTGTATGGGATAGGGTGACGTGGGATCACCCCCGGATATGTGCATGGTAAGGTTATACGGCGGTTTGATGGCTTTGCGAACAACTCCGGACACGTTCGAGGACGAATGTATGTGGGGTAGGATGTAACGACCCGACCGGTCATTTTGAGCATTTACACTTCGCTCGGTTGTTTGAGGGCATGAGTAGCTCCGTATGATGTAATATTACTTATTTGAATTATCAGTTTTGGCTTTCAGGTTATTCGGAATTGATTTGAAAGAATGATTCTCAACTAGAAGCTTTAAATTTGAAAGAGTCGACCAAGTTTGACTTTTTGTGAATTTGAACCCGGAACGGAGTTTTGATTGTTCCATTAGCTCCGTTGGGTGATTTCGGACTTAGGAGCGCGTCTGGATTGTGATTGGGAGGTCCGTGGTTGAATTTGGCTCGAAATGGTGAAAGTTGAAATTTTGGAAAGTTTGACCGGGAGTGGACTTTTTGATATCGGGATCGGATTCCGATTCCGGAAGTTGGAGCAGGTCCGTAATATCGAATGTGACTTGTGTGCAAAATTTGAGGTCAATCAGACGTGATTTGATAGGTTTCGACATCGGTTGTGGAAGTTTGAAGTTTCAAAGTTCATTGAATTCGAATTGAGGTGTGATTCGTCGTTCCGATGTTGTTTTGTATGTTTTGAGGCCTCGAGTAGGTCCGTGTTATGTTATGGGACTTGTTGGTATGTTTGGACGGGGTGTCAAGGGGCTCGGGCGTGTTTCGGATTAATTTCTCATCATTTTTCTTCATTTTTGGTACTGTTGTGTTCTGCTATTTTCTGGTGTCTCAGTTCTTCATCGCGTGGCAAGTTTCGCGAACGCGTAGTGTATTTTGATGGCACCAGAAAATTGTTCTTCGCGATTGCGACGTATGTCTCGCGTTCGCGTAGAGTTGGGGCAAGTCCTCTTCGCGTTCGCGTAGTGTTGAGGTTGGCAGCTGGGAATTTGAGCGTTCTTCTATGCTATCGCGTAAGGTTAGTCGTGTTCGCGAAGCTTTGGCAGCAGTGTTCATCGCGTTCGCGTGGGGTGCATCGCGAACGTGTAGAGACTTTAGTGGCAGTGTGAGATTTATTCATCGCGAATGCGATGGTTTTCCCGCGTTCGCGAAAGAGGACGTCTGGGCAGTGTATATAGTACTCTATTTAGAAGGTTTCAGACATTTTTACATTTTGGGAGCTATGGAGCTCGGATTGAGGCGATTCTTGAAGCAATTTTCACCATATGAATTGGGGTAAGTGTTCTCTACTCGATTTTGGTTATATTTCATGAATCTATCTTCATTTTTGGTAATTGGATTGTGAATTTTAAAGAGGAAATTGGGGGTTTTGGCCTAAAGTTTCATAATATGAATTTTTGAGTTTTGAACATCGAATTGGAGTCGGATTTGAGTGAAATTAGTGTGATTGGACTCATAATTGAATGAGTTGTTGAATTTTGTAAATTTTGTCGGGTTCCGAGTTGCGGGCCCGGGTTGGGCTTTTGGCCAGTTTTGGGCTTTTTGATTCAAGATTTGATCTTTTTCGATCGGGATTGGTTCACTACTAGAAATTAGACTTATGGTGACGGTTCCAAAACCGCTGCAGAAGGAATTAAAATCATTGCCATAGAGATATTGCGACGGTTTTATGGCCGTTACAACAGGTTTCGTCGTGATAGATCTATTGTGACGGTTCTGTGTAACGGTTTAATAACCGATGCAAAAGACGGTCTATTGCAACAGTTATTCTTTGAATGATGTTGCGACGGGTTTTTTATTCAATAGAACGGTTACAAACCGTTGCAATAGAGTTCATTAGCAACTGTTGTTCAGGCTATTGCTATAGTTATTTTATACTATTGCAGTGGTTACTTAATGCTATTACGACGGTTACGTTATACTATTGCAACGGTCACTTTTGGCTTATGCGATTTGGGGCTCATGGTATTGCAACGGTTATATTGATATATTGCGACGGCTATTTTCTGGGCTACTGCAACGCCTATCATATCTCTATTGCAACAGTTAAACAAACCAACAATGTAACACACCTTGAAATATATATAATTTACGAGAAAAATCTATTTTTAAACAAAATCAGAATCCATAATAGGTGTAATATCCATAAAAGCAAAATATATAACAATATCTGCAGTGAATTGGAACACATAAGTTTCCAAAGTGTACAAAAATAAAATATTTCTACAGCATATGTAAAGTTTCATCATGAATCAACCTAATACTCCTAAGTAAGATCTTCATCACTTTTGTCGCCTACTTCAAGTTCTCCACCTACAAATAATCAAAAAACAAACAATTTAGCAAAAGTTTTATAAAAGGATTTCATTTAAAGATATATGTATATTAATGTCATGGCACGTAGTAAGATTAAACAAATTGACAAATACACAATCCCATACTTACTTTCCAAAAAAGAAAAAGAACCCAAACACTACCCTACCTGATACACTTCAGAACATAAAAGGTGACATAGTGCAACATTAAATAATGAAATACATATACCTCAACAACCCAAAAAAACTTCTGCAGATAAAAGGAACCACATAAAATCCACAATCCACATCTTTAATCAAGAAAATGACAGATCAAGCAGCTTCTATTACAAAAAATTACATGAACAAGAAGCAGATTCTTTTACAAAAGATACATGAACGAAAGCCATCACAGGCAGAAACAACTGCTTCAGCACAAAAAACTAATGGGAGCATTTCCACCTCCAGAAAGCATATAGAAACAGTTATTTGGATGACCATCTAAGGCAGGTTTTTGGACATTATGGACAGCTGCTTCATGTGAAAATACCAGTAGGCAAACGTTGTGGTTTTGTTCAATTTACTGACAGGTAAACTAATGTGCCTTCTGATGTACAACACAACCATAGCATACACTTTGTTCAATTTGTTCACACAAAGGTTTGGATCTGATTCATGGATCCTCAAGTTTGTATTGGATGTAAAACACAACCATAGCATACACTTTATGATGAAGCGAGGTAAGGAAGTCATTGCTCGAAGGAGTGACTCAGCTATCAATACTGCCCAGTTTTATCAACCATAGCATACACTTCATCAATCAACACTGCCCAGTTTTATCAAAATTCTTGGCAGGATGAGTGACAACCACAATGGGACCTTTAACTTTCTGGAATCATTTGAAGAAGTAATAGAATCTATTGAAAAAGCCAAAACATCTAATAATAAAGGAAGCATCGTGATAATTTGCTTCTGTAAGGGGGTTTGAAATGATCAACATGCCATACATCTTGCCTTCTTGAACAGAAATAAGCTATTGTTCAACACGATTTTTAATTCAAAAGCCACCTGGTAATGCTTTATATCTACATCATCCATGATACATAAGAAATACACAGACGTGCGCCCCTCATTGTTATATGCAATGACTCCACGCAAAAAGGAAGGGCAATTTGATCGAGCAACATGGTGCTATTTACACTCACAAACAAAAGAGAAGCTGGAGCAAAAGCAGGAGAGCTACTGGAGAATAAAGCTGCCCAGATTTTGGGCAGACATGATGACATTTTTGACGATGCTGACTTTTCAAAGTAGGATGCTGTCTACATAGAAACTGTGATGAATTGATTTGGCAGTATGTTGACAGTAATGCATAGAAACTGTCTACATTACCAGGTGGCAGTATGTTGACACAATTGATAGTTTGTTTTTGACGATGCTGACAGTAATGCATAGAAACTGTGATGAATTGATTTGGCAGTAACAATTTTACTTTAAACCTAAATTAATCTCTATTTGGGTAATACATGTCAACATTATGAGAGAATACAACAAAATGTGGAGATTGAGTACCCTGGCATTTGGAACTAATATGGAGATTGTGTCAAACATATTGCCAAATCAATTCATCAAAGTAGGATGCTGTCTACATTAGTTTTTATAACTTGAATGATACTTTTCTCCTTTGGTACTTCGAAGTGTCATTTTGCTTTGGGTAAGTAGGAAGAGTTCGAGACTCAAATAACTTGAATGCAAAGCTATCAATTTCTATTCAGAATAATCAACAGCAATCTAGACTCCAATATGGAAAACTCAACCACAGTAAAATTTAATACACATATATTAACAAATATCAGCAGCTCTACAGTTGCTAAAATATGAAGTTTAGCCTGGGAATAAAGTGATACTAACCTTGATTGTTGCTACCTGTAGATGGTCGATAGATCAGTTGATTAGCAGCTTGTGGTGCAGAGGTAGCTTCTCCTAGTGACGAAACAGACAATGTTGCTAGTATGTTTGGATTAATTAATCCTGCACGCTGAAGTTGAGCAATTACATCTGCTGTAATTGCTTGTCACATAGTTCTCTTTTGTTCCTCCATCTTTCGAATCCTTTCTTGCATTTCTTGCACTGTATCATTTGTGGCATTTGAAGTCGGCTCGAAATGGCCCACTTTTCCTTTCAAAGTAGTCTTTGTAACCCCTCGTCCATATAATCTTAAACGTCCTGAATGTTCAGGACCCATGACAGATGAAAATGCATCAACAGACTGACTGCCATCTACACTTTGCTGTGTTTCAATTTTTTCCATTTCAGCCTAACAAAGAAAATTCAACAAAAGAATTAAAGTAAATAAAAAATAAGGAAGAAGAATAAATAAAATGATCTCATTTAAAACTTGCAAATAGATAATATTCGTACAATTTTACTAGTTGTATTTTCGTCTGAGTCCTTGTACAAACGCCCAGGTTTTCTTGCTCTTGTGGCCACAAACATCTCCTTAAGTGATATAGATTCCTTTATTTTTTCCTAGTCGCATGAAAATAGATATAAGAGATCTTTAAAAAATATAATAGATATAATAATAAATAAGAGTACACACCAATTCATTACGGATTACAGCAAAACTTATTTTGCCAGCTGTGTGTGGATCCGTCAACTTTTTCTGATTCTCCTTGTTGATTTCGGATGATATCTGCAAATAAAATGAGTCAATACAATATATCTAAATAACACAATTAGTAGCATTTTGAAGAAAAAAAACAGAGGAACAAAAGACTATATTTTCATCAAAATTCTCCAGTATTAACAGATTGTGAAGACTATTGTCAAGACCATGGTTTATATTTACCTGTAGTTTATCAGAACTCCAATATTTCAGGAGTTCTTTAAACTGAAATTCTGGTATATAACCAGGCCTTTTTGTCATTCGAACTTCATCATTTTGATAGGCATCATAATGATCTTTCTTCCGTTGACTTTTATGCCTTCTCCAAGCATTTCCAATTGAAAATAAAGTCCATGTTTTTGCAGCATCGGGAATATCATACTTCGACTACAATTTGATTTCATTTGATTAGCAGAAATTGTAACATACTTTTAACAAATAACTGAACATTTGTATCGGAACTTCAAACCTTGGTATATGTCCATAAATCGTCTTTTGTGTCCATTTTCCTCCAACAGTGGATCTTTTCTTGTAAGGTAGCTTTGATCATTCCCTCCTCAACACTACTTCTGTCCATTATCATAAGCTTGTTGCTTATTCAGAAAAACCTCGGACACGTCCCGTTGTACATCTATATATATACTATGTTGTTCAAGATAATCTTAACTTGCTTATTGACTTGCCAACATGGTTAACCAGGAGCAAAATTTTAGCTCTAAATTGCTTTTATTGGCTGCTAGTTGTCTACTTGTAGTATGTACAAAGTATGTAAATCGTGCTCCATTCGATGAAGCAGCGAATCAGTTTCATTTTCTTGTTATGTTTGTAAGATTGTTTGTTTCTCTAAGTTTAATTTTGCATTTCTGAATGGATATAATGACAGGGGAGAGATGGAAGATGGAGAGTGGACAATGGTGCAGAAGAGTGGGAACCAATTTGTGGTGAATGACCAACCTTTTTATGTGAATGGATTAAATACTTACTGGTTAATGTTGTTTGCTGCTGATCAGTCCACAAGGGAAAAAGTTACTGAGACGTTTCAGCAGGCGTCTGCTGTCGGTCTATCAGTATGCCGGACTTGGGCTTTTAATGATGGCCAATGGCGAGCTCTTCAGAAAACTCCTGCTGTTTAAAAGTAATATAATTCATCAGTCAAAATTTAAAATAGTAATAAAGTAGCATTATTTAAGAACATTTATTTTGGTTATTTTTGATCGGTAAGAGTAAGATAGAGACACAGAACAGATTGAATAATAGAAAAAACTAAACTTCTCACAGTCCTCTTTACAATATGGAGATAACTATCCAGGAGAGGATGATTTGGCTATTGTACGGGCTATTTTGATGTGGGTATCTTGCAATATAGTGTTTAGTACCTTGTATTTGATGGTCCTAACTAAGTTATCCAACTTCTGTTGGTGGACATTCTGAACTTTACACTTCGACAAACTTATGTTCAATCTCCCAAGTCTGTAATCTCCATAAAATTTCTGGGCATTGCTGCAATTCGCCCTAGTCTATTTGCTTAATCTGATTGAGGCACACATTTAAAACCAAGTTAAAGTTCAGGCTAAATGAAGGGATATTGACACATGTATACAACTTTAAAGAGTAAGTTTGGCGCAATTTAGCCAACAATCGATGTTAACGTACAATGGGAGCCTCCCTATTTTAGTCCAAAAACTGCAAGCATTCAGACTAAACTATTGAAGGTCTAGCCGTTCTGGGTGGTATAATTTTGTTAGAAAAGAGCACTAAGGTACAGCACGCGCGCGCACACACTCACATTGTACATGTACTTAATCAACATTAAGAAATTGAGTCAACTGTTACTATTAGCAGTTGTATACATCTCACTTTCTGCTATAACTACAAGGTTGCTAGCAGGGCAGCAACTATCTTATTTAGCGGGCTTTTGTTGTGGCTTCTTGTTAATCTTTTATTGCTCTTATTTATATGCTATATTGGGGATAATTTTTGTTTCTTTCCTGTTGGGCATAAAAAAAGAGCATTTTAGATCAGGTTATGCAAAAAAAAAAAAAACAGAAAACCAAACAAGAGCATTTTAGAACACCCATTGATAAAAAAAATTGACAAATTGATCAGGTTATGCATAAAAACCCATTGATAAAAAAATTGATCAGGTTATGCATGAAAAAACACCCATTTTAGAACACAAGAGCCAAACAACCAGAAAACCAACAAAAAAAGTAAAATCCCCATATATATATACAACAATTTTCTCCAACTCTCCCAACTTTAAATTTCTCTATTTAAGTTTTAGAACTTTGTCGACCTCAACAATGGAGTTTTGAAGGGTATTTGTCACTTTAATTCCTCCCAAACAGCAGTAAACTCATTATTCAGTACAAAATAAACTTCGAATAAAATTTTGGCTCAAAGAATTGAAACCTAGTTTCTCAAACTCCAATTTTACTAAAACCCAAAATTTAAGCAATCTTCTTTAATTTTTTATCATAGATATTTTTCACGAAAAACTCAAATCTTCACCAAATTTGAGATACAAACTTTAAACCACACTAAAATTAAAAACCAAACATAAATTAGAACAAAAGATAGTAACTTCATAGAAACCCATTTGTGTATTTTGTAATCTTTTCCAAAAATACTTGAATGGAAAATCTAGAGATAGGGAACTTATAAGCCATGGAGGAGAGCATGCAGACGTATTGTAGTAGAGAGCAATATTGGTCGAAGCCTTCGCTGGTCGAAATCCTTCACTGGTCGAAATCTCGCTGGATGTGGAGCCGTTTTTTGATCTTGAAGAAGCTTCACTGGAGGGTTTTTCTCAATGAACTGAATAGAAAAGAAGAAGGCCCCTCTTTTACTTTGACTGGTCAAAATCCTTCGCGTGGAGCCGTTTTTCGCTCTTGAAGAAGCTTCAGAGGGTTTTTCTCAATGAACTGAATAGAAAAGAAGAAGACCCCTCTTTTACTTTGATACGTGTAATTTTGGAATTATTTTTTAATTATAAAAGGAGCATTCGCGGGTTTAGTGAAATAATTGAAGGGAAATGAAATCCTCTTTTTTACACAGAACCATCTCCACAAAGTTATTTTTACCAAACTGTCTCCATAGAGAGGTATGTGGCAACGGTTGTGGTACTAATGCGTCGGTTTAGTTTTAATACTGTCTTAATAGGCTCAAGCAGCTATTGCGACGGTTGTAACCCTTGCAATAGACCATATATTGCAAGGGTTATGTAACCATTTCTAAATAACTGATGCAATAGGTTTATTTTCTAGTAGTGGTTCTTTTAGTATTGTTGATATACTTGAGTTGTTTTGGGTTAGTTTCGGGCCGTTCGGAGGTCAGAACGCGCGGGATGGCATTTTGGAGTATCGCTTGGCTTGCTCGGTGTTGGAATTGGCTTGTTCGAGGTAAGTAACTCTTCTAATCTTAGTGTTGAGGGTATGAAACCCCGAAATACGTGTTATGCGATTTGTGTTGAGGTGACACACATGCTAGGTGGCGGGCGTGCGGGCGTGCACCATGTGAATTGGGACTCTGTTGTTTCCATAGCACTGAATAGTGGCCCTATTTTGTTGATATCCGTGTTTTCGCCATGTGATAAAGTAATTGAACTATCAATCATGCTAGATATCATGTTTAGGCTTTATGCCGATATTGTTTGGACCCATAGTGGTCGTTTCTTACTGTCATCTCACTGATTTCATTGATATTTCGTACTCAGTCATATTCATGCATTCATACCATATCTCAGTCTCAGATATTACTTATTGATACAGCATATCATTGTTGTCGGGCTAGTTTCATGACATTGTGAACCCGTGAGTGAGACTGGAGAGATTGATAACTGAGTGAGGCCGAGGGCCTGAGTGAGAGTGACATTTTGGGATCGGGCTACACGCCACAACATATTATATTGATTATATTTTATATGGGTCGGGTTGCACGCCGCAACGAGCCTTAGGGA